TGGCCTTTTCTGCCCCCCCCCCCCGACTTTGTCAGCAGCTCTCCTTGAGGCTGTGACTTCAGGGCTTTTCACTGGGCTCTCGGCTTCCTTTTGGCCCTGGCTTCCTGCTGAGCTTACACACAAACTCCTCAGCACCTCCCAGGCAGCATGAGCCAACTCAACGCCCTCCAAGTGAGGCAACAGCGTAGGGTCCATGCTTGATTTCAACATGCAGAACTCCTCTTTCTCTCTCTGCTTTCTATCCTCCAGAAAAGCAGACTCCAGCTCTGCATCTCCAGCAGCAACTGGCGTGGGTGGTGCCGGCTCTTTCTGGGCTATACTCCAGAGCCCTGTGGCCCTTTTGCTTATCTCCAACAGTTTTAATCGTGTAGAAAAACAACATAAATCAGACCCGGCGAGAGAGCGCACATCTTGCTGCCTCGCCGCCAAAAGCGAAAGAACAAAAGCACACAGAGAAACACTCCCCTCTGTGAACAAAGCCACGCTTCAGAATGTGAGACGTCACTCAGAACTGTTTAACCCTGTAAGTTCTGATTCTCTTCACAAGTTTGACCGAACTGCGGGAGGCAGTGGAAGACAGGAGTGCCTGGCGTGCTCTGGTCCATGGGGTCATGAAGAGTCGGACACGACTAAACAACTAAACAACAAAGTCCCTTTGACTCTGCCGAGTCTTGACTTCCCTCTCTCCTGGTAGCTGGTATATACATCACATTCTTATCGCGTATACTATTCTCGCATCTCTGCTATTTTACATTGAAGGTATTCCAGCATTTTAGACAGATTTTTAACTTTAGATTCCAGCAACTCCGTCTCCAACTTGGATTTTTCAGAAGCAAAACCATTTTTCTTATCTAGTTTATACAATTCATTAATCTGGAGGTAGTGTAGCCAATTTAACTTATCTTTAACTTGATCAAATGGTTTTAGTTTGTATCCTTCATTATCCTCCAGTAATAAATCTGAGTATCTCAACCATTTGATTTCCATGTTTAACTTTTTCTGGGCCTTCGCCTCCATTGGTGAAAGCCATCTGGGCGTCTTCCTTTCTAAAAGATCTTTGTATTTTATCCAAACATTGTACAACGATCTATACATCATTTTCATTATATTTTCCTTTATACTGGCACCTTTAAACGTCCGCAATAAAGTGTTGCTATATTCCTTTTGGCACCTGCTAAAAACATTTTGCCTATCCAGGCATGTAGAAATTGAAATGTGTCTTAATATGTTTTAGCTTATCTGCTGATTTTATCTGATGTTTTAAACTTTTATTGGCAATTTTAATGCCTTATGTATAATGCTCAGAGGTTCTATTTGTAGTCAAGCAGTATATATATGCATGTTGTTAAATAAATGAATAATTCCAAGGGATCATACAAATGTGTGTTCTGATCCTCCTGCTGCTTCCACTTGGGACCATTAATGATTAGTTTGAGCAGTTTAGAGGACAGTGATAGAAAAGGCCTCTGAATTTCAACTACCTTCAACTATATTTCTCTTTTCTGAATGTGGTTTGCAGGTTGCCCCCCCCCATTGAATTAGTGTTCATGTAGAGAAAATGTCACATTTGATTTAGCTCTGATCATTTTGGATCTGAGCCTTGGAGACCTAGTGTAGCTACAAATACTGGGACACCAGTGACTTATTCTCCGGGTGGCTGTTTGGGAAGGAGGAGGTTAGGATTTAATGCCTGCAAATGAGCTCTTGGGGAATTTCAGTTATACATTGCAACAGTACACCAGGTGTTCACAGAGATTGTATTGCCAATTGCTCTGTCACGGCTAAAAATTGGCCGCTGTTTCTTTAATGCTTAAAAAAGCTGGGTCAGCATGAGTCAGCGGCCTGCACCGAGTTGTATATAGAGAGTGAGAAATGTTCGTTTGGTGTTGGGTTGGTTGGTTGGTTAGTGAAAGCTAGTAGTGTTGATGGGTGTACAGTTGGTCAGTCGCTTACTGTCTGTAAGCTGTTTGATTAAAGCAGGGTATAGTGTTAAGTTCACGCAGGATGGTTTTCTGATAAATGGAACTCAGGTATGTGGCCACGCAAAGATGGAAAATGGGTTATATGTAATGCAGGACAAGCCTGTTAAAGCAGCCCAGGTGGTTCAGGATAATTTGCCAGTTCATAAGGGGTGTGTACATGAACTGCACTGGAAACTGGGCCACACAAATTTCCGTGTGCTTTCAGAGATGCAAAAGGTGTGCAAGAACCTAAGAGTAAATAACTGTAACTGTTTCCTAGATTGCAATGTATGTAAAATGGCCAAATCTAAGAGGAAGCCTGTGGCTTCTAAAAGTGACAGAGTATCTAAAGAGGTTTTAGAACTTGTCCATTGTGACGTGATAGGTCCTTTTCCACAGAAGACTGAAGGGTTTATAAAAGGAAAACCCTTGCATCTGGGGAACCACGTTTTCAAGCCAGATTAGTAGCCAGAGGGTTCACTCAGATTAAAGGGGAGAGTTATGATGAAGTGTTTTCTCCCACTGTAAAGAGTGAAACTTTTCGTTTAATGCTTTCCATTGCTGCTGTAAGACAACTAGCAGTGCACCATTTTGATGTTGATGCTGCATATCTGCATGCAAATTTAGACCATGAAGTGTTAATGAGACAACCCGCTGGGTTTGAAGAGGGGAATGGTGCAGTCTGGTGTTTGAAAAAGGCTGTCTATGGTCTCAAACAAAGTGGAAGGTGTTGGAACCAGTGTTTAAATGAAGCCCTTGTAAAACTTGGTTTTAAAAGGAGTGTGGCTGATCCATGCCTGTACACCAAGGGGACAGGCAACAAATATCTAATGCTCTTAGTCTTTGTTAATGATTTAATGTAGCAGGGAGTTCCACAGATGAAATCCAGAAGCTCACATGTCAACTGGAAAAGAGGTTTACTTGGGAGTAGAAGTAAGGCAGGAAGCTGATGGAAGCTTTCTATTGAGCCAGAAAGAGAAAATTCTTCATTTGATAGAACAGTTTGGCATGGAAAACTGCAAGCCAGTTCAGACTCCCATGACACCAGATTTCCCAAAGACAGTGTGTGATGATGAATTTGATCAGCCTGAGTTGTATCACTCAAAAATAGGATCACTGTTGTATTTAAGCCAGTGGTCAAGGCCAGACATTACATGTGCTACAAATGTTCTGAGCCAACATGTATCTAAACCCAGTACTGCCGATTGGTGTGCTTTGAAAAGGCTTATCAGACATCTAAAGGGGACACTAAATGTACCGTATTTTTCCCTCTATAACACGCAGATTTTTTCTCCTAAAAAGGAAGGGGAAATGTCTGTGCGTGTTATTGAGCGAATGTGTGGTCCCTGGAGCCAAATGGCAAAAAAAATCAGGCAAAAATCAAATCGCGCATCTCGGAGAAGGTAAACCTGAAAAGAGGAATCGGCTGCTTTCCTGCATTCTGCCTCAGGGTCTTACTGCCCACCTACCTCTGTTTCCTTGCTGTGTTTGCTCAAACGGAACAAGCAGGCAAGCAGAGGGGAAAGCAGAGTGTCGTCTCTGTGCTCCGGTGCTGCTGAAAACATGCAGGAGGGAGGGAGAGAGAGAGAGAGAGAGCTGGCTGGCTTGGGTGGGTAGGTGAGGGAAAACTTTTGCCTTCCTTTCCTCCCTCCCGTTATACCCCTCTCCTGCATTCTTAGCCAGCTGCTTTTCTGCACACCCCTCTCGTGCTCCTTGTCCATTCTGTGTTTTTCCTTCCCTCCCCACTTAAAATGTGGTTAAAAAGCATGGATCCACATGGATCCTCAGGATCTTTGCATTGGTTCACCCCAAATTCACCATCAGATCACATAGCATCTCCATGGCTACAGCCTGCCCCCCCCAAAATCACGCACCCACTGTTGCCTGGGGCTGCAATGGTGCAAAAACGTGGTTACAAAACATGGATCCACATGGATCCTCAGGATCTTTGCATTGGGTCAGCCCAAATTCACCATCAGAGCACATAGCATGTCCATGGCTACAGCCTGCCCCCCAAAAATCACACACCCACTGTTGCCTGGGGCTGCAATGGTGCAAAAACGCGGTTACAAAGCATGGATCCACAGGGATTCTCAGGATTTTTGCATTGGGTCACCCCAAATTCACCATCAGATCACATGTCTGTGGCCACAGCATGAAGCACAAAAATGATACATCCACTGTTTCATTCAGAATGTTTTTTCCCTTGTTTTCCTCCTCTAAAAACGATGTGCTTGTTATGGTCAGGTGCGTGTTATAGAGCGAAAAATACGGTATATTGGAAGATATCTAGTACACAAGACGAAAAACTAGAAGTATCTGTTGATGCGGACTGGGGAAGCTGTGTAACTATTAGAAAATCTACAAGTGGAATGGTTATGATGTTTGCCAATTCCATAATTGGATGGAGGTCAAAGAAACAAGGATTTGTTGCGACCTCATCCTGTGAGGCAGAATATGGGAGCCTGTCACTAGCATGCAATGAAATCATGTGGTTTATACAGATACTAAAAGATCTAGATTGTAAAGTAGATTTGCCTATCCAAGTGTATGAAGATAGCCAATCGTGCATTGCATTAGCGGGCTCAGAAATAATGAAATCCACATCAAAACATATTGCTATCCATCATGGAAATGTTAGAGATTGTGTACAGAATGTGTTAATCAAACTGAAGTATTGTCAATCACAACATAATATTGCTGATTTATTTACCAAGCCTTTGCCAGCAACATGTCATAATGAATTGATGACAAAACTGGGTTTATGTATATAATGTATGTATGTATTGTTTCTGTTGGGGTTTTTTGCATTTAAGAAACAGAAGGATACTTTTCTCGTGGACTCTTTTATGCCGACAAGGGTCCGAGGACCAGGCTGAGGCAACAAAGGGAGGTCAGAACCTTGTTTTGCTTTTTACAAACACTGACATGCTCTAAAACACTTGAGTAGCAGGAATGCACTTGGCACTTTGATCCTGCAGTTTTAAACACTGACTCTAAGGTCTCTGCTCTTTTTACTTCCCTGATCCTCTCTTGCAGGACTGGTGGAATTCTAAATCTTATGCAAGGTATTTCCGAACCAGCAATGTGGTGGTGCATGACTGGCTGTATTACTATGCATACAGAGATGTCCTTTGGGTAAGCAACCATCTTTTAATGCACTCCCTTGCTTCAGCTCTCAAAGAAAGCCATTTTTTAAATGGAATGGCAGAGATCTTTACATTTCCCCCACAAAATGATTTTATTAAATTTTAATGTAAAGGTGAATCACACAACATGTAAAATACCTAGTCACTTTACCCATACAGAGATCTGACAGAAGGTGGAAAGAGAGAAGCTTGTACTTATGCAGTCTGATTTGTATCCAGTATTTGGGAAGCCACTTTTTTTTTTACCAGTCTACCACCGATTTCACCCCTCTATGCCATATCCCACACTGTTCCAGCTCTCGCGTTAAGTGTTTGTGGGGCTCCATTGAGTAGGAGGGATCAGCAAAAATGAGCTGCCCTGCCTTGTGCAAGCAAGAAGTCCTTTTGATAGAGCAAGGCCACCACTGGAGACAACCCTCCCTGTGCAATAAATGTGAATGGGCAATTTAAGGGTGGTTATCACAAGCTGTTCACTGTTGTTTTTGAAAATTGGATATCCTCTGATACATTCACCTATCAGAGAGTCACCCTTCCCCTTGTTTGTCTGTGTCTCTCTCTCACCACCAGTTATTTGGGAAGAAATTCAAAGCAGTCGCTATGCTGTCGGTCTTCACTCTTTCCGCTATTGTGCACGAATACGTCTTGGCTGTCTGCTTTGGTTACTTCTATCCAGTATTGTTCTTCTTCTACATGGGTTTTGGAAGTAAGTACCAAATATAACAGGGGACGCGGGTGGCGCTGTGGTCTAAACCACACAGCCTAGGGCTTGCTGATCAGAAGGTCGGCAGTTCGAATCCCCGCGACGGGGTGAGCTCCCATTGCTCGGTCCCTGCTCCTGCCAACCTAGCCGTTCGAAAGCACATCAAAGTGCAAGTAGATAACTAGGTAAGGTAAACGGCATTTCTGTGCACTGCTCTGGTCCGCCAGAAGCGGCTTAGTCACGCTGGCCACATGACCCGGAAGCTGTACGCCGGCTCCCTCGGCCTATAGAGCAGGATGAGCGCGCAACCCCAGAGTCGTCCGTGAGTGGACCTAACGGTCAGGGGTCCCTTTAGTTTACCTTACCAAATATACCTCCCGGCAGCAGCAGTTTCTGTAAATTCTGAGGATTAGCTTTTAGTTGCCATCTGTACTTCATGTTCTAAGATGCAAGGGGCTTGTGTTGCAGGCTGCCTTACCATTTGCTCCCTCTAAACCTAGAAGCCTCTCCTGACCCCAGTTGAATCTCCATTTTCTGAGACTGATCATGGCCAGAGTAGGAGGGAGGACTTCCTTGGCTTGGCTGAGGAAGAAGTTCTGATAATGCTCCAAACTCTAATATGCGGCTTTCTCAAAGACTTCTGAGATGATCCTTGCTTTGGAGGTCTTCAGCTTGCAACCTGAAAAGAGGTGCCCCTTCCCCCTGCTTGACACTGGCAGTATCAACCATCTGTCATGGTGGACAAGTATTTCTCCTATCATATAGCCAACTTTGTTTCATAAGAGGAGGTGGCCCACTGATTTTTCTGTGTGATTTAAAGGGAAAGCCCTGTCTCTTTTCCATTGAAACTCCAAAAAACCGTTGAGAGCCATTTATTTCTATGGAAAGAGGTACAACGTGTCATACTGATACGGACACTTTGCTAACTGGGGATCAAGGAAAGAATGCTGCTGGTGTCCTTAACAGGAATTTTGAGTGCATTTTAATTTTCTTCCGTCAGCGCTTTTCAACTTCATTCTCAGCGACCGTCGGAAAGGCCCCATTTGGACGATGATCCTGTGGCTTACGCTTGGGCTTGGTATAACTATGATACATTACCTCTACAGCCTGGAATGGAATGCCCATAAGCACTGCCCTTTGAAAAATGTGAGTTTCCCACTTGTCAATGGAAATAAGAGGAACAGAGCTGAGCTGCTATTCTGGACTATTCATTCAAGCCCTAAGATGTGAACGTAAAATTCGAAAACCAGATTTTTAGAAGGTTGCATTCTGCCCAGAATAGCTACCGTAGAGGTTTCTTTCTAACAAGAATAACAAGCAGCAGGGTCAGAAAAAAAAACCTTTGAAACTTCCTCCATGTCTTTTTATATGAATACTGTAAATTTCTGAGCTAGTTTCTGCCCTTTTGGAGAGGTGAGAGCCAAAGGTTTTCAGAGGATGGGAGGGGGCAGTAAAGAAGGGAGGGAGAGGAAGGTAATGGAAAAGCGTGAAAGGCCTTAATGGAGCACAGTGGTTTCTTTATTCTACTTGCTGTGTTCTCTGATTCAGCTGCCACCTTTGGATCTCCTGGGTTCAAACAGAGAGAATTCACTACATCTTTGCCGCATTTAATATGCGGTGCCCACTACCTTTCCTTCTTCAATATGTAGTGCCAGATCAGTCCACATGCATATGCATAACCCTCTGGGGCTGGTTCTTGGACTGTCGAGGCCTCATGGTATCTGGAGCCAAGTAGGATTGTAGTTTCAGGATTACAGACAGCAGTTCTGCTTGACCTGAAAGACCTGCCATTCAGAGAGTTAAAGCGTCTGGGTGAAGCTGACCCAAAGAAGAGCCAATTTGGGGGTCTTACAGGGAAAGGCAAGCCTTTCCCCACCCCTACCCCACTTCTAATTGCCTAGATTGGCTACTGCAAGTTGGGTGGCCGCCCAGGCTTGAGAGACAGCAAAGGAAAACACTTTGGTTTCATCACTGGCATTTGTTCACATGGCTACTGGATAGGAAGAAGAGGCTTAACAGACAACTCTACAGAAGTGAAAGTGCCCAGCATTTCCTGCCTAACATTACTGTTCCTCTTGTGTTTTATAGCCCACTTTCCTTGACTATGTGAAACCGCGTTCCTGGACTTGCCATCTTAAGGTCTGACACCCTTTGGGATATCCCTCCACGTCAAGGCCAGAAGATGCTTGTCTTTTAAACAATGACAACAAGTTGGGCTAGCGTGTTGAAATGACTGCAGACTTTTTAAAGGGAAACTGTCTTTAGCTATGGCAAAAGTGGGTGCTGTCTGCTACTAAGGGCTGTATCATTCCCATTTTAACCGGAACCAGTGTCTTCAGGGGTTCCTGCTCTCTAGCTAAGGACCCAAGCGGACCTGAGGCTGTTTATGCAATTACCGGTAATTTGAGAATTTTATCAAGTACGGTAAATCCTGTTGTCTTTGGGAAATATGTGTACTTTTTTCTAAGGGGGACGTGTGGGAAGATTAGTATACTAATTGTAATCAACCTCATGGTTTGGGACTGAATCTGTGAATGTAAACTGGATGGACACAACATGGTTGGAAATCTCCTGCAAATGATCTACTACACAACTGCTTGTAAGGAGGCATCCTGTTAACCTGGAAGGTGCTGGATTGCAAGGCTGTAGTTTTCCTCTTTCTCAGAGTGAGCAATGGAAAAATTTCTTGCACAGATGGTGAGAAGAGGACAAACTGTACCTGACACCGGAATGGTCTTCCCAAGCCTCACTTGCATCTTTTGTAATATGGAGGACATTGTGGGTCAGGGAAGGCTGTTGATGGTGGGATATAGAATTGTTAACCGATTCCAAAATGTATCGAACTGTCTGTTGTGACCTATTCTGTTACTTGCAAGGGATTATGTGATCTATACTGTACTACAGAAATTGAAATATATTTTGCTATCCATGAAACTTGTCTGCCTGCATTCATTCCAGCCTCAATGTACTGCATCTAGACAATAAACTGGTTGAAAGTGTGGTACAGTGGTACCTTGGGTTACATACGCTTCAGGTTACAGGCGCTTCAGGTTACAGATAGGGTTTTATCCCTATCGCGCTTGGAGGGCAGGAGGGTCCCACAAGCAACCCAGGTCATGCTCTCTGCCTTGTCAAATGCAGGGAGGGGCAAGAATGGGCCTTTTTCCTACTGGAACTCCCCAGAACTCCGTTCTGGCACCTCTCCAAGGCATAGTTGTCAACTTTTCCCTTTTCTTGCGAGGAATCCTATTCGGAATAAGGGAATTTCCCTTAAAAAACGGGAAACGTTGGCAGCTATGCTCCAAGGGGCACCATGGCCAATTCTAAGGGAACGAAGAAGGCGATCCTGGCCAGTTCCGGCACCTCTTTTTCCAAAAATATATCCTTGGGCAATAATTACAACTGACAGACATCAAGACTGGCATCTGTTCGATCTTAGTAAAAGCAACCACAACTGCTCAGTAGGCAGGTCTCAGGAAAGATTTTCCACTGCATGCTGCAGTTATGGCATCGCCCCCTCATAAAATTAGGGGACCGCAGGCGAGTGTGGGGTGGTGACATTGAGGAGGGTAAGGCGTGGGGCTGCAGCCCCTCCGATCCCAGAAAGGGCCGCTCCGCCTTCCTTAAGTGGCCCCTCGGCTGTCAGCTGCATTCACAGCCACGGGCTCTACTGACCGCCAAGGGGACACAAAGCACTTTCTAAATGGGGTTTTACTATTCGTGCCATAGCTGTCCACTTCCCCCTTTTTTCAAGGGAAATCCCCTTATTCCCAATAGGATTCCTCGCAAGAAAAGGGAAGAGTTGGCAGCTGTGCTTCGACTCAGTCAATATAAAAGGGACCCATCACTGCGCGCGAGTCCTTGGCCTGGCAGGGGAGGCGGACACGTCACTGCCCTTCCTTCCTTCTCTCTTGGGCGCAAGCGCGGCGGGCCGGCCTTTTCTGGCGCGCATGCTCCGTTTCTTCTCATGGCAAGGACCCTTCCCGGCTCCCATCACCGTTGTCAAGGCGTCTAACTCGGTGCCTTAAAACAAAACAAAACATCCTTTCTAAAATGGGGCGCGTGAGAGAGAAACGGGCGGATAGCGGGGGTGAAAGCAGGAAGCGCCTGGCGCAAGTTCTGGGCGGAAGCGGCCTTTGCTCTGTCAGGCGCTGCGAGGGACGCCTGTCGGAGGCGCGCGCGGTTCCCATGGCAACAGACGCCGACGGGAAGCGCGCGGAGAGAGGTAAAGGGAGGCCGCCGCTTCTCCTCCGCTTCTCCCCCCGAGGTGCTCCGGGCGGGGGGGGGGGCGAGGCCGAGGTCCCGGCGGGGCTTCTAGTCCTCATGGAGGTCGCCGGGGACCGAGCAGGGGGCGAGGGAAAGGAGAAGGGGAGCTGCCCCAGAGGCCATTCACACGTGCCCCGTTCCCCCTCAGGACAGCGGGGTCGCCATGCAGCAGCGGGCGGACTGACCCTCCGGCAGCCCCGAGGCCACGAACCTTCTGCGGAGGTGAGAGCGGAGAATGGGGATCAGGACCGGATCCAGAGCACCTCTGAAGGCAGCCTGCCTGGGTCGGGAGTGCAGAGCCAGGCGCGGGGGGCCAGACTCCCCCCTCTGCTCAGCCCTGGCCAGGGATGAGGGGAGAGGCAGCCAAAAAACTCCTTCCCCATCCTTGGCAGAAGGAAAGGTGCTGTCTCGGGAAACGGGGCTCCGTGGGTCCTACTCGGTTGTATTCTAAAAGCAAAACACAGAGCACTAAAATAGAAACAAAACAGTCCCACCAAATGTCCTCACACTATTCCCTGTTCTTCAGTGCTCCCTCCTCTTGCCCTTTTCCCAAATCTACTGTCCATTTCAAAACAGATACATGTATCTTAAGACAGTATTCATGCCTCTCTCTACTCAGTTTTACAGGGAAAAGGTGGTCTGAAACGGAGTAAATCTTGATGGCAAGTGACTCTCTACTGCAGGAGTCCCACTTCTTCCTTGTAAATGGGTTAACAGCCACAGGTGGAGCAGCTTGCAGCGCAAGCAGAAATGTAGGAACACAGTGTGTGCCTCTTGCAATTTATATCCTTTTCCCCAGGCTATCTTACCTTCTTAAACCGAATCTGAAATCTAATCACATCCATCGCGGTCATACAGTCTATCCATGTGGGTTATATATCCCTTCCAGATATATGCAGCAGCCAACAATCTGAGTCAGTGAGCAAGCCAGCCAAAATCAACATTTTGTCATGTCTGCAAACAAAGGACTCGCTCCAGTGCCACCATCTACTTCAAAGCAAGAAAACAAAAAACTGAGAGTTGCTTCTTCCTTAGTATCTGTCAGCAAGGATAGTAACGGTAAATCTTGCAGCAGGTTGTTCAGTAACGTATAGCTGCAGTCAGGGTTGAGTTTTGTTGCCTCTGTCTGCAGTGTTTGGATTCCTGAAAGTACTGTGATATATTTGTAGGAGTAGGACCGTTAATATTTGGTTCAGTTCAAGCACATTTTGGGCCTAACAAGATATGCGGTTGTTGCCATCCGAGTGCATGGGGAGAACAGGTCCTTCAGGAGTGTATTGGAGACAAGGAAGTAGGACATGTGGGGATCAGGTTAAGAAGAAGTGGTTGGACCTGAATCCCTTGTGTCTGCTGTTTGTTACTGCCTATAGCAGGAATATCAATTCTTCCACCTCTTCTATAAGTATCTTTTAATATGCCTCTTTACATATGGTTGCTTATCATTTAAAGAAGTGGCTTTCCAGGAATTAAGATAACTGGAGGAGAAAATGTCTAACTAAGGCTATCTTCCCTTGGTTTTGCATGTAGTCCTAAACCTTTGGTGAGTCCATCATCACTATAAAATCCTGTCCATGCCATGGATTAAGTGAGGAAACTAGCCCTGCTGCAGACTTAAAAATCAAATTATAATATTTTAGCGTTGGTAGAGGAGGAGTTAAGCAACCCTGAACTTTTAGGGGGGGCATAATTCATGAAGTGCCAAGTTGGTGTTGAAGCCAGGAATGGTCAGCACTACTCATGTTTAACACTTTTTAAAATAATTTTCAAAAAACCAATTCTTCATTAGTGGCAGGGTGCTCATTTGTTAAAGAATTAAAAAACACTTGGAATGAAACACATGGTCACAAAATGTTGCAGGCATCGGGGAAGCCAATCTGTTGCTTGCTGTTAGTGTGGGTAAAAGTGCTATGTAATAAGTGACCTTTAGAGTCTGGTAACCATGTTCCATACATCACTATTTCTTTATAACAAAAATTATATACCATGCTGTCATCTAAACATATTGAAGCAGTTTACAGAAATAAAACAAAACTGCAGTTGGATGCAATGCTTGAGGTGGAGTCACAAAGCAATGAGTGCTGAGGAAATACAGAGTTTCTAGAATAAAATTGCTTCCTTGAGAAAAACCACACAAATTTTGCAGATTAAAAACTGATATAATTTGGGGAAGGGCTGTAGCTAGGTAGAGCATCTGCCCTGCATGCAGAAGAACCTAGGCTCACTCCCTCCATCTCCCTGGCAATGCCACCTGCCTGAAATCCTGGAGAGCTGCTGCCAGTCCGGGAAAACAGTATCAGCTAGATGGGCCACTGTACCTGACTTAGTATTAAGGCACCTTCCTATGTCCCTATGATAGGCTTGAAAAACTCTCAGTCTCCACTGGTCCCATATCAAATTATTTTCCTCTAAATCTTGAGTGATTTTTCTCTCCCCCTGTTTCATTTGATAGTCTGGGATTTTATAAGGGTCTGCCTTACTCGCACCTTAGCATTTCTCGGTAGGAATGAGCAAAAAGGCAAAAAATGTTGAGAAGAGTGATGTACTTTCAGGGTGTGTTTGCGTGTGATGGTTTAACTAAAACCATGATTGCGTGTGAACTAGGAGCCAGTGGTTACTAGCTAAACAAGCCAACTTTGTGTGAATTAATATCTGTCCTATGGATTTGTTGTTATTGTTCTGTCTCTGCATGTAGATCCATCGTTTCACAAAGACTTGGGTGGGTTGTAAGTTACAGGCACACACAGAGAAGATTGGTCAACAAGGAGAGAGGAGTAATGTAAAGAGTGAAACTTTTCGTTTAATGCTTTCCATTGCTGCTGTAAGACAACTAGCAGTGCACCATTTTGATGTTGATGCTGCATATCTGCATGCAAATTTAGACCATGAAGTGTTAATGAGACAACCCGCTGGGTTTGAAGAGGGGAATGGTGCAGTCTGGTGTTTGAAAAAGGCTGTCTATGGTCTCAAACAAAGTGGAAGGTGTTGGAACCAGTGTTTAAATGAAGCCCTTGTAAAACTTGGTTTTAAAAGGAGTGTGGCTGATCCATGCCTGTACACCAAGGGGACAGGCAACAAATATCTAATGCTCTTAGTCTTTGTTAATGATTTGCTTGTAGCAGGGAGTTCCACAGATGAAATCCAGAAGCTCACACGTCAACTGGAAAAGAGGTTTACTTGGGAGTAGAAGTAAGGCAGGAAGCTGATGGAAGCTTTCTACTGAGCCAGAAAGAGAAAATTCTTCATTTGATAGAACAGTTTGGCATGGAAAACTGCAAGCCAGTTCAGACTGCCATGACACCAGATTTCCCAAAGACAGTGTGTGATGATGAATTTGATCAGCCTGAGTTGTATCACTCAAAAATAGGATCACTGTTGTATTTAAGCCAGTGGTCAAGGCCAGACATTGCATGTGCTACAAATGTTCTGAGCCAACATGTATCTAAACCCAGTACTGCCGATTGGAGACACTCCTTCAGGTATACAGGACCAAGGCTGTTTAAGGCTTTAAAGGTCAGCACCAACACTTTGAATTGTGCTCGGAAACGTACTGGGAGCCAATGTAGGTCTTTCAAGACCGGTGTTTTGTGGTCCCGGCAGCCGCTCCCAGTCACCAGTCTAGCTGCCGCATTCTGGAAAACTGATTGTCCCTCTGTCTGTCTGTCTGTGCC